GCAAGAGGGATGCCCACTCAACAAGGGGAGATAGCAGGGAATTGTGGTTCTAGGTGGGGACACTCTTCTCCTGAAGCAGCAATTCTACATCTTAGGGGTTGTCCTGGGCTTGTGGCTCGGGCTAGAACTCATGGCCTTATCACCATGATGTTAGATTTCTATAATGTGCTTCAAATGGGGCTCCAGGTTCTTTGCTGAGGTCTTGGTCCTGGAAGTGCAGAGCAGGTGAGCGGGTCTTCTTCTGGTTACGTTGGGAGCCCCAACCTGATTCTCATTACTTTGCAGGGAGACAGTGGGCAGCCATGACAGCGTCAACGTGTTCCTGCCACAAGATGCTGCCCAGCTTTTCCAGACAGAAGGGATCTTCCCACGCCGAATGGGTATAGACTCGTGGCTGGCCCACCGCACATTGAGGAACCACAAGTGTGGGGTCTTCCTGTTGTAAGTTAGGGCAAGGTCTCTCCAAAGGCTGTTGCTGGCAGCCATGGTTTCAGATTATGTCAGCCAGGCCTGCCCTGAAAGGAGTCTTCTCCCAAACGGAGGCCTCCTCCAACTCTGACCATCTCCAGCCAGCAGGGCAGCTGCTGTGCCGGCCAGAACCCCTGGGAGCTGGCCCGGAGCATGTTGGAAAGGCACCAGCTTGGGAAAGGGAGGGGCACCTCGTGCTTTGAACATTGATGGTCCTGTCCCAGCTGTTCCAAGGAAACTGTCTGGAGGAAGCAGTAGACGTCTCGCTGAATGGGGGGAGGCCTCCAACTTCAGCAATCAGTGCTCTACCTCCTTTGTGGACTGTCTCTAGAAGGAGATGGAGAAACCCACAAAAAGAGACAGGAGAGTTTCAGGACGGTGTCATCTGGCCCCCTCCTGAAACCCTGTGCACATACAGTTGCATAATAAAACCATGGTCTGGAAGTATTTCGGGCCTTCCTTTTTATTACAGGCATGTACCTGTAGAAGGTCATCATTACATACAGAAGGTTGCTGGTCCCCCAATATGGGAAGGCTTTTTCAGCCCAAGGCCTACCTTCCTTTATGGAAGGAAGGGTCTGAAGGGGCTTGAGTGGAAAGGGCGCAAGGAGAAAAAGCAGAGACAAGGGAGGGCCCTGCAATGGTCACAGGGGATGGAGGTCTTTCACTGAGCAAAGCTGGGAGATGCAGGTCACACTCCCTGGTCAGGCCAGGCCAGGTCTTACCTGTGGGGGTGATCTTATTCTGCAGGAACGGGGAAGAGTGGCGCTCAGACCGCCTAATCCTCAACAAGGAGGTGATCAGTCCTGCTGGTACCCGCAAGTTCCTGCCCTTTCTCAACACAGTGGCTGAGGACTTTGTGGCTTTCATGCACCGGCAGGTCAGGAAGAACACTCGAGGGTCTCTGACCGTGGATCTTTATCATGATCTCTTCCGCTTCACGCTGGAAGGTACAGGCAGTCCTTTCAAGATGGCCCCATCCCAGCATGATCTTGCCCAGTTCTGCATGCCCCTCACCCCACCTCCTCAAGTCGGAGCATCTCTTGTGGTCTAGTAGGTCAAGTGACTTCTTCTTGTGGCTCTCTCCGAAAGCCTAGATTCAGCTGGCCTCCTTCGTTATGCAGGCCATGCATTGCTTGGAGGAGAACAGAAAAAGGACCCCCAACAGGCCCGCAAGCCCTCCAACAGAAGGAGAGATCCAAGTTGGTCTAAGGGCAGGCAGTCACAAGAGCTGTGAGGTTTCGACTACATTTCCACCACCAAAAGTAGGCAGGATAGGCCCTACACTGGGCCACTTAAGTCACTTAACCAGTTCAGTTAAAAATCTCACAGCTGCATTCACCCAACCAGCTAAGCTTGATTAGTCTTAACCTTGTGACTCGGTCTGTGGCTCAGTCTTGTAAGTGAACCCACCCCCACAAGGGAATAGTTTACAGTTCAGTGGATTGTGGGGATCCAGAAAACCAGTTAATTCAGTAACTAAGTTAAATGTGATGTGCAAACCCAGTCCTAACTGCAAGTATAACTAGCCATTTCAAGAGCACTTGAAGTGGGAATTGTGGTCTGCCATATTTGGAGGATACCAAAGTGGGGAAGGCTGACTGAGGAATTGGTGAGTGACAAATCTCTCCAGGTATTAGGCGTCATCCTGATCACTTCTTTGTATTCTATGAGAATTCTGTAAGGGGCAAAATGACCCAAATAACTGCCCTAGCCCTAAACTGAGGGACAGTTGCTTTTTTCTCTTCCTTTCTCTGGCTGGGACCTGCCCCCTGACTTTATCCTCTCCCTGTAACCCTCAACCCAACAGCTAGCAGCTATGCCTTGTATGGAGAGCGCCTGGGCCTTCTGGAGGAGAGTCCCCGGCCTGAGTCCCAGGAGTTCATCGGTGCCGTAGAGATCATGCTGCAGTCTACGCTACCTCTGCTCTTCGTTCCACCGGGCGTTATGCGTTGGGTGAACAACAGGCTCTGGCAGGACCATCTGAAGTCCTGGGATACTATCTTCAATCATGGTCAGTCTTGGAGGAACTGGGCAGGGGAGTTTGGTGGGCAGCAGATTACTTCCAACAGGATGCAAGAGGCCTGAAAGGTTGCTGCAAAATGGGATGGGTGGGTGAGAGAGGGGCAACTGAGCAAAAACGACACAACAGGGCAGTGGTTTGGGGCACAAAGACTTGAGTTGGCTAAAGTTCACTGAAAGAGAGCTTCAGGGATAGCATCGACCTTCCTGTCTGGCTCCCTACATACCTCATCCCCTCCTGTCTGGTTGGAGGTGATGGGACAAGTAGCCCATGTAGCTGAAGGGCCCCAGAAGGGAGGAAGCTGCTTCAGCATGACTGAACCTGCCCACCCTACCAGTCCTGAAGCCATCATCCTAGGGGAGGGATGGTCTCGTTGAGGATCTCACAAGGTCCAGTACTTCTTCTTGCTGGGGTAGATGTACAAATTTGGCTTTGGATGTTATCGGGTGTTTGGGGACATGTGGCCTCCTTGTACACCCTTTGCTCCTGCAAACTCCTTTAGGCCCCAGCCACTGGTCCATGGCACCCCATTTCCATTCAGATTCTTCCCTGTCCTGGGTGCTATACATCACAGAGCAGGGCCTGGGTCTCAGGTGCTTCTCATAGGTGATTTCATTCCTTGGATTGTTTCTTCCAGCTGACAAATGCATCCAGAATATCTACCAGGAATTCTGCCTGGGGAAGCCCCGCAAATATTCTGGGATCATGGCAGAGCTGCTGGTCCAAGCTGAGCTGCCTCTTGATTCCATCAAGGCCAACATCACTGAGTTAACAGCTGGGGGGGTTGACACGGTGAGTGTGCATATGGGCCACATAGGTGTCTCTAAGGAACCACAATGAGATCATGTGCACCGTGATCATGTAACACACATGATATTACTTGGCCCTTTGCCCCTCCCATAGCCATGGCGGTTGGCAGGGTATGCATGGGTGCTAGTGCACTGTACCGGAGGAGGCCTCAGGCTACAATGCTGGGGGGAAGCTCTAGGAATAGAATGGGACAGATTTCTGAGTTTCCCCCAATTTTTATCTTCAGCATGGGTTCTTTCACTCTATTCTTGTGCTGATTCACGACCCAGCTTTGCTAGCACCTGAGAACAATATTTGTGATGCAGCTTCTGCAGGTTGTAATAAAATCAGTAGCAGCCAACAATCAGTCTTTAAACTGGCTTTGAATGTCAGTTTTCCAAAAGTTCTTAAGCCACCAAACTAAAGAAAGATGCTGGCCAACAGCCTGGATGTTGTCCTGCTCCCCATGAGGTGATTTCCCTCAAGTTGAGGGAAGATGGAATATGCAGCTGGGAAAGGGTCCGAAAGGGCCCCCTCGTCCTCCACTTTGAAAAGCTTCTTGTTTCAGTGACCCTGCTGCCTACAGAACATTCCTGAGATAGCCACTTCCTTAAAATTGGCCTTAGGGGAAGCCATGATGGTGATAACATTGACTTAAAGGTTGAAAGTCAGGCCTTCTGCAGGACCAGCAACTGGTTGGTTCTTCCTGCCTGAGACTCTTAACAATCTCTCTGTCTCCCCTTTCTTCACCCCCGGCTTCCCCACCAGACAGCCATGCCCCTGCTCTTTACCTTATTTGAGCTAGCCCGCAATCAACAGGTCCAGACCGCCATTCGGGGGGAGATCAAGGAAGCCCAGGCGCAGGGCTCCCGGGAACTCTCCAAGGTGCTGAACGCAATGCCACTGCTCAAGGGAGCCATCAAGGAAACGCTGAGGTAAGGGGGAGGCCTTGGGAAGGGGGCCTTGGAGGGGCTTGGGCAGCGGTGGGTTTCTGACTGACTGCAACTCCTGTGGGGACCATAACTGGATTGCCTGAGTCCAGGTACAACTATTAAACAAGAGTGAACAACGAACACCCTCAAAGCATAAGGCACTTTTTGGCGCTTTCAAATCAGTCTTGGCTCCTGGCAACTACATTTTCTTGGCAACATTTTTTCAGAAGTGGCTTGCCAGGATCTTCTTCCTGGGGCTGAGAGAGAGAGGAACTGGGCCAGATCACCTGGCTTCGTGCCTAAGGCAGGACTAGAATTCACAGTCTCCTGGTTTCTAGCCTCCTGCCTTTAACCACTACACAAACAATATCCATCATGAAATCTTTAAAACCACCAGGAAAAATTATGACTGTCTACCATCCCCAGGCAGGAGAGTTGGGGCGATGGGATGAAGAGCTGTGGTGACTCCTCCTTCCTCTTCATGTTCCAGGCTGTACCCTGTGGGGATTACCATCCAGCGCTACCCAGTACGAGATGTGGTGCTCCAGAATTATTGTGTGCCAGCTGGTGTAAGTCCTCGGTGGCTTAAGGGGGTATCCGCTCGCCAGCTCCACACATCGCAGGCCGGGGCTGACTCCTTGACCTCTATGAGCCTGCCAACATGGAGAGTCTTCAGCTCAGTGGTGGAAACTGGAGCAGAGAATTTGCCTGCCAAAGGTCCAAGATTCAAACCCCAGTTAAAAGCAAGTCTAGGTAGCAGGAGACCAGATTTGGCCCCTAGTGACCTCTGCCTTTTGGTTCTTGATGGCCTTTTCATATAAAACGCTTGGATGAGGCTGGCTTGGCTGAAGAATGCCATTCTCTTGCCTCTCTCCTGACCTTGATCAGTGACTATTGAGATGTATAATGGTGGTGAATTGACTATAAAATGTCCTGGGGTGACTGGGGGCTTTGGAACAATGCAGGTTGGGGTGCAGTATCAAAAGCAAGGGAGCCTGGCATCACTGCTTGGAAAACCAGGAGCTCCATGGCAGAAGCGTCTGCCCTGGCACCAGGAGCAAGCATGGCCTCGGTTGCCTCCTCAGGAGTGTCTCCCTCCCTTCCCCTCAGACTTTGTGCCAGGTGGGGCTCTACTCCATGGGCCGGAGCCCGGAGGTGTTTCCTGACCCAGAGCAGTACAAGCCCACGCGCTGGCTCGGCAAAGAGGACAACAGCTTCAAGGCCCTGGCCTTTGGCTTTGGATCTCGGCAGTGCATTGGGCGGAGGCTGGCGGAAGCAGAGATGATGCTCTTTCTCATGCACGTGAGTCCAGGCGGGGCTGGGCTGCCCTGAGGGGGGCATGGGATGGCCCAAACAGCCCGGTCTGGTTTGTCTAGGGCACCTAGCTGCTCCTGCACACAGTGTAGAAGGAAGCCTTTGCACGCTTGCTAGATTTCATCTCCCAGCAGGCCAGCGGGGGATTATGGGAAGTAAAGCCCAATGAATCTAAAGGCTTGATTTGCACAGGGGGTGGTAAGGAAGGGGCCCTGGAAATAGCCCTTGATGGAGCCCGAGCTAAGTATCATTCACTGGACCCCCTTGGTGCCCATTGTGGGGACTCTTTCAGATCTTGCGGAACTTCAAGATCGACACCGTCTCCAAGGCAGACATCAGGACCATCTACGGCTTCATCCTGATGCCGGAGAAACCACCTCGGCTCACTTTCCGCCCCATTGAATAGGGGCTCTCTGTGTGGGCTGCCCCGGCCACCAGCTCCATGCCTTCATTCTGACAAAGACCAGGAAGCCCCCCAGCTGCACAGACTCCCTCCCCAGCTCCTCCTCCTTCCACCCCAGCAGAATCTGCTAGGAGCTGTTTGGGGGCAACAAAGCGAGCCCTTCCCCTTTGCAATTAGCTTTGGTGGCTGGGGGGAGAGGGGCAGAGGAGGGAGGCCTGACACAGGGAAACAGCAAAGCAGCATCTTTCCCCCACTTTTTAATTTTGTTTTCCTGAGTTTTTTTTCTCAGTTTACGGTGTGCAAGGTGGCCCAAAGGATCAATGATGCACTGTTGGAAATCAAGTAAAAATAAATGTTGCGTTGCCAACATCCAGTGATTTATAGCCTTCTATCAGATGTAACCCCCGAGAAGCTGTGACCCACCCTATCCCTAACCCTAGTAACTCAGTATGGGAGGATCCAGCATTAGAAAAATGGTTCCTTTACTCTCAGGAAGCAATTGATGTGTGCTTGACTGGGGTTTACTGGAAAATATCTATCTGAACAACATATTAAAATGCAACTCATGATTTGCAAAGCATTTCAGTTGTGTTCGCACAATGTGCAAAAGCCACATTTTGGAGTAATCAGTTGTGTGAAATGGCCAAGAGTGGAAGAGGCTACATGTTAACCAGGTCCTGTGCCAGAAGGGGATTGGCACAATGCATGGAGCTCTGGGCTATTTCTGTGCCAAGAAACTCAACAAGCGGGTCCCTCACCCACTTGGTTACATGCCACCTGCTCTCCTCCCCTCCCCCTCCACTAAACCCAAAGGTCAGGAATATTAGACACCAGTAAAGGTAGTAAAATAAAACAAAACTTTGGATGCTATCTAATAAACCACGCTCTCACTAGGGGAGACCTTGCATTATAGTAGTTGGTAGTATCTTATTTTCATTGCTGTTGCACAGTATTTTGCTACTGCCTGGGTTATAGAGGATTTGAAGGAGAGCAGCTGGGTTTTGACAACCCACTTATGCAGGTCAGTTGAATGCCCAGTAGCTGTATTGGCACAACATACTCAGCTGCAGCTTAAGGGCGTGAGGCAGCCCAGCGGAGATGTTACACTTCGGGTCTGGTGGGAGTCATCCCATGCCTGAGGAGAAGAAGAGTGTAGGCTAAAGAGCTGCAAGTGGTGTGACTTGTCCTCTGCAGAGTTGTGGAATCCTAGTTTTGTGGAGCTGGACGAGACCATGAGGATCGTCTAGTCCAACCTTCTGCAATGTGCGGGACAGCCAATCCTTAAGGACTGGTTGCCCCGACTCTTCTTAAAAACCTGGAGAGATTAAGTACTCACAACCTGCATAGGCAGACGGTCCCGTTGTTGGACAGATCCTACCATCCAGAAGTTTCTCCTGATATTTTAACAAGATTTGGATAACTGCAAATTGTACCCATATTTCTGATCTTAGTTTCTGTGGCCACGGGAGAGAGCTCTTGGCCCTCCATCCCCCACCCCGTAGTTTCCTTTTGTGTGCCTAAACCAGGCTATGGGACTGCCCAGAGAACTCCTACAACGAAGGCTCAAAAGAAACTGCAGGCTTGGTGGTAGGCGAAGGATGGATTGATCCCCTCAGCTCTGGATACAAGATTAACGTATTCCCAGCCCTGGGGTTAAGGTATTCGTGGAGCCCCTGGTGATATTTTTCAATGTTACTCATGTGGCTTTGTCTGAGCAGTCATGTTCCTTTTTAAAAAATTATGTAGTCTTTTAAAAATGGTAAGCTGCCCCAAATCTTTTTGGAGTTGGGTTGCCTTGCAATCCAGTAAGTGGGTAAGTAAGTTAGGGGTGATGTCCCAAAGTAATCAAGCCTCCTTCCTCAGACCAGCCCAACAGCCCTCGAGAGTAACCGTTTTTTTAACCACTCCAACGTTCCATTAAAACCACATTAAAACCTCCAGCAGTGAACAACTGCACCATCTTGGGTAAGAGATGCTGGTTGTTAGGAATCACAGCTGATCCAGCCATTGGTCGCCTTCTTCCCAGACCCTTTGTTCTTAGTTCAGAAAGCCACCTTCCCCCCGTTTCACTTCTGCTTCCCTTCCCCGTTGCCCCAGGCACCGTCTGCATAATAGGGCCTGATGTCAGGCAGAGGCCACTACCCTCCTGGGAACCCCGCTCCCCCCCCCCAAAAATCAGGCCTGAGTTGATGAAGCCCAAGAGAACCGCTGCAGCTTCTCCAGAGCATTTGGCCGCCTCCCAGACTCATTCTCAGCAGCCCAAACAGCAGGCATCAACTCCCCAAACAAGTAACGTGAAGCAGACCCTGCCCCCTGCGTGAGATCCCCGTGAGTGGTCCGGGATCACTTGAGGCTACTGGAGAGGAGAGCAACAGAATGCTGAGCTACCAAAGTCCTCCTGACCACCCACTGGCACCGAGGCAGTAAGGATTCATGTCTCTTCCGTTCAGCATTGTCCAGATTTTGGAAGCCCCGATGAGGAGCCCTCGCAGAAGGGCAACAACCAAGAGCAGGAACATTGCCATGTCCCCTTGGAGAACCTATGCCCACCCCCAGGTTATCTACAGCCCACTTCCATCTTACTTACGGGAGCAGGCACGCTGGCTGCTTTACAGAGCAGTGTCCAACCTCATGAGGAGGAGGAATTTCCTCTCTGCGAGAGCTCTGACACCATAGCCCAGCCGGCCTCCTGGAGCTGTGGGGGCTCCATCCCGGGAGGGTTTCCAGCCCTTCTCCTGGGATGGTTTGAAGATTCCTGACCTGAGCAGCTTGGACTAGAAAACCTCCAAGCTCCCTTCCAATCCTATAACGTCATCACCCATCACATAACAGGAACGTACACAACCAAATGGCCACAGACCTGCTTGCCATACTCGGCGTGTGTACGTGGGAGTAAGCTCCACTGAATTCCTCTCTGACTGCAGAGATTCCAGCGTGGCTTTAACAAAAGGCTTTCAGTCAGCTGAAATGCAGTACTTGCTTTGTATTACAAACGCAATCGATCTGGCTGAGAACGTTGCCAGGAAAGGCAGGCAGGCAGGCAGGCACTGAAAAGGGAAGAAGCCTTTTGCCTCTCTCAGCTCGCCTCCCCTTTGACCTTCCCCTCACCTGCATCCAGAGGAGGCCCCCCACTCCGGCTCTGGAAACTCCCCAAAGTTACGCCCCCCCGGCCCCCCTTTCATCTCCAAACAAGAGCAGGGTAGGCCAGTCAAACGCAATGCCCGGCAGCAGGCAAAACTCTTTATTTGCCCTTAAGAAGCTTTCTCTTTTCATTTACCAAATATACCCAAACCCCAGAGAGACTCTTGTCCTTGTGGCCCACAGTGGGTCCTGAGGAAGGGGGAACCTTCCCCCAGGATGTCCTGACATCATTCCAGTCCGAAAGGAAGAAACCCGGAGGTTGCTTGTAGCTGTGGCTAAAATCTGCGTAGGCCCAGTGGCCACAACCACCATGAAGGAGGGTGGCAGTCCCCCGCAGAGGGTCACCAGTTCCCCAGAGGTGGAGGAATGGCGGGAGAAGAGGAGGGAGACCCGCCATTCACTTCTTGGTTACAGAAAGATAATCAGTCCATATTCAAGCCCGGCTTTTGCTGGGGTGGTTCTGCTGGCTGAGAAGCCAAGTTCCCTGAAGCCGCAGCTGCTCCCCACCCAAGGGGCCCCCCAACCCGCCGGAGCACGAAGCAGCTCAGGTGCCCCTCCCAGACCTCCCTGGAGCAAAGCAGTGCCCGATGGGCCTCCACCCCCGAGACCCGGGGCTCGCAGGGTCTCTCTGCTTCTCTCGGAGGCCAGGCTGTGCGGCTCCAGCCATGGGGCAGCCAAGGCTCTCCCTGCCTACGGGCAGACCGCACAGCGGCAGGAGAGTCTCTGCCCCTCGGCTGGGGCAGGGGCTGCTGCCTCCCCCTCTGTTCAGACGGAGATCAGTGGCAGCAGAGGGCTTCAGAGAGGGCCTTGCAGAAAGCGCTGGGGTCCGTGCTCAGTGCGTTTGGCCTACGAGCACGTACTCTGCCCCCCAGCTGCAGCTTTCCTTGCATAAACATCCCTCCTTCCCTGTGTTCCTGATCTTCCTCTCTCGCCTGCTTGTGTGGCGAGCAAGGCTAGATGCCCGGCTTTCCCCACCCGTGGAGCCCCAGGACTTTCTACGGGGAGGGGGTTCGGCACCGGGCTTGTGGCCCCCATCAATCCAGTGGGCCGGCGGGGTGAGGTCAGCTCTGGCAGCCAGCAGCTGCAGCCGCAGCCAGGAACGGCAGAGAGGATGGGGCTCCAGATTCCATCCTCCAGACCCCGCACGCCTCCAACGGGGCTCCCCTTCCCTTCAGTCCAGCCCATGGACCTAGAGCCTTTGGATCAAGCGGCAGAGCCGGGGAGGCACTGCCGCCCTGCTGAGGCGCCCTAGAAGAGCTGCAAGAGGAAATTGGGGCCCCACTCCAAGGCGGTCTGCGTGACGGCCAGGGCAGCAGCCCCCAGCGTGGCCGTGAGCCCCCAAACCGCAGCTTTCACCAGGGCGCTGCGTCCTGCAGGGAGAAGGAGCACATCGGACTCTACGTTGCTGGGGCTGGAGTGGTGCTGCCGCCGCCACTGCTGCTGGCGAAGGATGGCATCTGGGCGTTGGCAGAGTGCTGCTTGCTGGAATGTCGAGAAGGAGCTGATGGCAATGCTGGAAGTACGAGGAAGGGGGAAACATGGATGCAGAAGGGGAAGAAGAGAAAACAAAGCACTTAAGCCCTGGCGGGCTGGATACTCAGGGTACTTTCAGTCAAGCCCAGACAGGGCCCCTCAAGCCTGGAGAGACCAGGGCTCCCAGCACGCCACTCTGCCCTTGGGGCCCCACTGCCGGAAATGGCAGTGCTAGATTTGGAAGGACCCGTCTGCTTTCCCACCGAGCTCTGGCAGGATCTCATCCTTGCTTCGGGGTGCTCCCCACCCGTTTGGGGCAACCGCTCAACCTGAATACTCCTTCCTCATCTTTCTGTTTCCTGCTTGCCTCCTGCCGCCAGAAGCACTTCCCAGGAAAAGCTGGATGCGGCTTGGAACACAAGGCCACTGAGGAGCAGGCCCAAACCCTCAGGCAGAAGGCACGAGGCCGTTATTAAAACAGTTCTTTTCTCAAAGGGGGCAGCTTCCAAAATAAGGGGTGGGAAAGCAAGATCAGAGATAAAGGTGGCATCTCCTTCTGTCATGCCCAACTCTCAGGGACTCCACTGAGACACCACCAAATTAGTTTTAACTTCTGGAATGCTTCTACAAGTCCCCAGCTAGTCTCCTTTCCCCTCCAAGATGAGCCCAGACTTTTGGGAGCAGCCAGGCCACCTGATGCTGCCAGGATAAGGAGCCCATTCTGAAAAATAGTCTCTTCTTTGACCATGCTGGCTGGCACTTGCCACTCGACAGATGGATGCAAGAGATTCTTCTTGGGACTCAGGAAATGAAGCACAAGCTGAGGAGGGAGTGGCGAGGGTAGCTCAGGGCACCCCCCCCACACGCCAGTTGCAGGTTATGCAAAAGCTGCCTGAAGTTTGGTAACGTCCGTTCTTTCACATTTGTAACCACAAGGGAATTTGCTTTGTCAACCTTCAACTGTGCAGAATTTTAGGGAAGCAGAAAATAATTTTAGAAAAAAGTTGAAAACTCTTTTTCCCTTTATTACCCACCCTAACAAGCTGTGGAGCTACAGCTGCCAAATTGAGGGAGGTGGCCTTCCCCTGAAGACCTTCCCCCAACAGAGAAGGCAAGCTGTAGGCCAGGGCCACATGCAAGCGGGACGCACTGCCCCCAAAACAGCCTGGCCCGAGGAGCCCCCAGGACGGGCGGGGCTGGGAGAAGGCGGACGACGAAACATCCCAGCCCGCAGGAGCTCTGGTTGAAACATTGCGACAGCAGAGCCCTGGGGCGGGAGGCAAAGAGAGCAGCAGCAGGAAGGCTCCATTCAACAAGAGGCTGACCGAGAGCACTGCAGGTTCACCAGGAACCAAAGGATCCTGCCTGTTATTAGGTGCCTGGCAGGATGTGTTGAAAAAGGGCAGCATGACTGTGCAAAACCCTTCTGGGCGGTGGCTTAGGATTTGGAGAGGGAAGAGTGTTAAGAGGGAGAAAGAGTTTTACAGGCCTAAGAATATCGGACAATGGAATTCCAATCATAGTCTTAGGCCATTCAGAAGTTTTGGGCAATCACTGTTTTCTTGGCTAATTGCTTAAAATAGTTGCCCCATCCAGAATGGCTACGGCAATCTTCAAAGGCACAACACTCAGGGAGTCCTTATGCTTTATGCTGCCTTTCAAAGGTAGCAAATGCTCTTCGCCTTGCTCCTGGCAAGCCTTGACGTTGTCACAGCAGACTCGAGAGGTTGCTTCGAGCAAGACCCGGAGACTGGGTTCACAAAACACTGGGAACCCTCCACCTGGCTGGAGGGCACAAAACTAGCAAAGAGACCGAGTTATGGCTGAAGGCGAAGGCCTCGTTCCCAGAAGATGGCTGGGTCCAGCCACAGGTTGAACCATAAACTCCTCTGCTGCATTTCAGTGTGTGCTAAAGGCAGCCCCTTCCTGGCTGAGCCAATTCCGAACCTGAGTAATCCTAGGCCTAGCCCGACACTCTAAGCTTTAAGATAAGGTTTGTTTAGGCCAGTGTTTCTCAACCTTGGGAACTTTAAGATGGGTGGACTTCAACTCCCTGGAGTTCCCCAGGCTAGCCCTAACCCATCTTAAAGTTCCCAAGGTTGAGAAACACTGGGTTAGGCCTATTAATAAACTCATAGGTTGCTTCAGTTTAAAGTCTTGGGCTGCGTGCCACCCTTCAGGGCAAACTGGCATGGCCCCTACTGAGCTCCCCTCCAGCTTGGCCTTTGAAGACACCACTGGATGTCCTGCTCTAAATGCAGTGGCTACAGCCAGGTCCAAAATCAGACCTGATGTCACGTCAGCAATATTTAATTTACGGGAAAAACGACTACCCTCCAGTTATTTATTAATAATTTCCTGCTTTAAAAACTGCAACCTGGTAGCCCCCTCTGGAAGTCTCCAGGAGCCACATGAAAGGATTGGGGGGGCTGCCGTGTTACCCTCCCACGCAAGGCATAAACCCAGATCCAACCTGCCAAACGAAGAGCTCCTCCTTCCCCGCAAAGTCCTGCGCTGCCCCCTCACCTCTTGTAGAGCTGAAGGGCTGCCTGTTTGGTGAGCTGTGTGTGGGGCAGGCGCTGGAAGAGCTGGTGGGCTTGGACAATCAGGGTCTCGTAGGGCAGGTCCTGCGGGAAGCGCGACAGGAGCTGATGGATGCTGGGCATGTCGCAGTCACAGGACAGCACCTCCTCTTCCCGATAGAGGACAATCTGGATTGGGGCAATGGGAGGAAGGGACGATTGAAGATTGGCGCCTTGATCCAGACTCTGCTTCCTCCCTGCCTGGGTCCTTCTCAACTAGACAAGGTCCCTATTTGGGGGCTGTCTCCCCATTTTTGAACGTGTTGCCACCAGTGGCTCTTACTATTTCTTCTCCTGCTAGATGATCTTGGAAATAATATTATAATTTATATATATAATTATAATTATAAATTATAATGGAAATGTCTTGGAAGATAGTATTTGTGTATGTGTTTGGTTTTTATTCTATTTTTATTGTATTACATATTGTTTTATTGTATTTTCAACCCGTCCCACCCGATCTCACAGAGAGGGCATGCTTCGGACTCCCTTGGCAAAAGAACTCCGACTAGCGGGGTCCAGAAGGTGGGCCTTCTCTGCTGTAGCCCCCGCCCTTTGGAACATTCTGCCCCCGGAGGTGAGACAGGCCCCCTCACTCCAGGCCTTTCGGAGGGACTTGAAGACCTGGCTCTGCCATCTGGCCTGGGGAGGGGAGGGAGGTCGTCAGATGTGGGGTTGGCTGGCCCCTTAGAGGCCTGGCGTTGCTTCCATTGGCCTCCTGGATTTATTTATTTTTTTCTCTCTTCTTTCCATCTGTGTAGATGTGTTAGTCTTTTTATAAATTTTAATTACATATTTATTGTTTTAACTTCTGTGTAGATGTGTTAGTCTTTTTATAAATTTTAATTACATATTTATTGTTTTAACTTGATGTAAACTGCCCAGAGTCCCCCACTGGGGGGAGATGGGTGGGGATAAGTCTATGTATAAATAAAAATAAATAAATTTTTAATATTTATTGCTGTTTTATTGTGAACCGCCCAGAGTCACTTTTTGTGAGATGGGTGGTATCTAAATTTGAAATATAAATAAATAAATAAGAAAGATGTCCTGTCAATTTCTAGTTTTCTCTCTGGAGGTGTCCGGAATCACGGGGCGGCTCAGCATGTTGCATCAGCCTCTCCACTACAGCACGTGCAGTCAGGACAAGGGTCAGGACTTCTGGAGGATCCCCCTCCCTGAGATTCCAGGGTGGCCGTGGGCCTTCTTGCCTGGGTTCAGACATACCACCGCAGCAAAATAAACGGCCATAAGGGGGTGGGAGGCCAGGAAAAAGTCGTAGAGGCGCAGGACATGGTGGAAGTTGGCGAGAACGTGACCAAACCAGGTGATCAGCCAGCTTAGGGCAAAGATGGTCCCCACCTCTGCTCTGCAACCAAAGGTGAAAAGAGGGGTCATCAGCGATAAGGTTCTGGTTCACACTGCAGCTCTTCAGATGCCCGCAATTCTTTTTATCATGACACCATGAAAAATATTTATTTTGTGGCCTCCTCAACTGATAGCAGATACCCACCCCGACCCACCATCCCAGGGGATACCTTTGCATGAAGTCATGGAGCTGAGGACTCTCGTGTTGCAGGATAGGCATCAGGTAACTGAGAATGTGCTTGGTGCTGTCAATGGTGGGGTCCATGAAGTCCCTAGAAAAGTCAGTGTGGGGGGGTCTATGATGAGTCTTCGGCAGATGGGTCTCTTGGAAGCCCATCCTGAGTGGCCCCCAGGTCAACAGGTACCAGTGTGAAAGAGGGCCAACTCCACACCCTCCTTCTCCCCTCCCTACAATCCGCCAACTGAACTCTTCCTTCTTTTCCTTCTCTGCCTCCCCCTCCTCCAGTCCACTCCCCGGTCACTGCCTCTGTCTAAATCAAAAGCAGCAGATTTGAGGGTGAAAAGATTTACTTTTCACTGGAGCCAAAAGGCCTAACAGCTGGAACCAGCTGCAAAACAGCAACTCAGAACGTGAATTTTGGACTGCAGACAAAACGCACCCGAGCATATCCTTAGCCTAGCTGAAAAACTGGTTCTCAGCACTGCAGGTGGGAGCCTATCCTGCCTCCCTCAGAGGGGAGAAAGGCCTTTTCATTCTGCTAGTCCTCATGCGATCATCTGAAGACCAACGAGTCAAGTTGCTCCATCCTCCCTCCACCCTTGAAGGAGAACAAGGTAACTCTGTGCTTTGTCCAGCCCAAGGATTTTCCGCAGCCACGAAGTCTTTTTCCAAGGCACAGGCATTGTAGGAAAGCTCTCCTTTCAGCTTCCTGCTCCTCAGAGGCCATGTCCTTTGGGAAAGCAGACGCACTCTGGGCTACGGGACTCCCAGATACCGAAGTGTAATTTACCAATGGTTACTTTCCAATGGTTTACGCACGGTCCTGGAGGAGCGGTTTCCTACACGCCACTGGCTACGGATACAAATGTTTGCCTTCCTCCCTGGGAGCAACAGAAGTCTCCTGCTTATGAAGGGTGCTCTCCCTCCCCAACGCGCCGCAGAGAAGCTGTTCTGGTTCACATGGTCCCGGCCTCACCCAAGGAAGGCTCTGGGTGCCCTAACATCCACCGGCAAGGGATTAACTGCACACTGGCCAAACGCAGAAATGTGAGTGCAAGGAAAGCCCTGCTGGCCCACGCCAAGCCTCACCCTGGCCGGGCAGGCCTTGACGGAACCGTCCTCCGGGGATTTATCCCATCCCTTTTAGAGCCACCCGGAGGCCAGGATGATGGCCAAAGGTCGCAGGATGCTGAAGCTCGGCGTTTGGGAAAGCTTACTGCCTGGCTAGGAGCTCGTTCAAGATACGGCCATGCGTTCCACAGAAGGGAACAGGGATGGAAATGAAACAGGCAAATCCCAGACTGAGGAACACCCAGCGTGGCTGTATGCCAAGCAAGCACTGGGGAGCGTAGGCTGGACTAGAGGCAGCTCGTTCTCATGGTCCTGCTCCCCAGCCAGGGAAAAAGAGCCAGAGGCCCTTCATCCCTGCCACAAGATGTGGGAATCTGACCCACCTCCTCCGCTCCCTTCCGTGACGCCTCCCTGCAGGAAGGCAGACCTCTGGCCCAGCTCCCGGCGACCCACCTCAGGTGATGTGTGGAGAGCCTCTCCAGCAGGGCAACAGCCACGCGCTCGCCGGATACCAACAGCAGAGTCACGGCAATGTCGTGGTAGCCTTGGTAGTAGTGAAGCTCTGGGTGGGCCCTCAGGACGTGCAGGATGACGTCAATCAGCTGCTCCTGAAGGACCTGGCGCTGCTTCTCGGGCATCCCTGTGCCACGAGGGAAGAGGGGGTCAGTGGCCAAGCCGCAAGCGTCGGCCTCTGCCGCCGGCACTGAACATGAGGGAAGGGCCTCCGCTATGATCCAGTTCGTAACAGGAAGGTGCCGGAGCTCCCTGGCCAGGAAGTCAACTGGGGGGAACCCTTCGAGCGGTGTTTTTCAAACTTGGCAACCTGCTGGCTGGGGAATTCTGGGACCTGAAGTCCACACATCGTAAAGTTGCCAAGTTTGAAAAACACTGAGCTAGAGGAAGCAGCTGCACACGCGCTCAGAAACAAACTTTTATGCCTCCACGCGTGAGAGGAGCAAATCCTCGGAAAGGGGGCGAGGAGGACAGAAAGCCTGCTTCCAGGGACGGCCGAGCTGGAGACCCAGCCTCTTTTCTGGCGGGGGCTCCTCAGGTTCCCCACAGAGCCTTCGGGCTCAGGAAGACGA